GTCCGGCTGAACTCCCTGACCTGCGGCCTGGAGATCTGTGTGGCAGCTGGGATCACATACGTGCCCCCGCTGCTGCTGGAGGCTGGAGTGGAGGAGCGCTACATGACCATGGTGCTAGGTAAGTGCTGAATACTGAAACAGGGGGCTCTGGTTATCACCTCTTTGCTATCTCATAGTGTGTGTGTGTGTGTGTGTGTGTGTGTGTGTGTATATGCAAGTGCACATGGTTTACTTTTGGCTCAGTTTTTCTCACACAAATGCCTGCTCTCATCATCTCCTTGCACACACTCTCAAAGGTAGACTGAAGTTCAAAGTGTTTATTTTGTCATATACACAGTTAGGAAACATGTTTCCCTGTACAATGAACTTCTTTTCGTCCACATGAATGTCACACAATACAAATGAAATATGAAGTAGATAAAGAAGAAGAAACTGAAGATGAAGAACTGCTGGGTTTCAACTGTCTCTCCTCTTTGGCTTGTTTACTGACCACATGAGTAATGGTTTCTCCTCAGAGTGTTTCAAATGTTTTAATAGCCCTTAAGTGGCATGTATTCACTTTACATTGTGTATTGTCATGGGACTGACAAGAAATTAGATTTTATTTTAATCAGTCTGAATGCTTTATATGCTGTGGAGCCTATAGTGGAGCCATAATACAAATGGACAATAATTGTATTAGTTTCTATGAAATTCATGAGAAGTATTGTGCATCAGATTTGGCTGAAATTTGTGTTTGTATAAAAATAGTTTGACATACAAAGATATGGCTTTGTCCAGTGGTACCCAAGTTAACATGGTGGTAGGGGGTTGATGCACAGGGGCATGACCGGGCCTCAGGGCTCCTGTTTTATTTCTTATTCAGATCATAAAGACATAATTGTGGTCCTTACACACATCAGCGGCCAAATCACCTGTTGTTTTGTTGAGATGGTAATCAGGTGCTAATTGAAAGGCAGCAGGAGAGCAAACTGCTGGAGGAAGAGCCACCGTCTCACAGACTGACTTAAAGGCCTTTCAGATAGGACGCAGTATGGGCTGCGCTCGCTGCGGGGGTTGGGCGCAGCACAGGGGAGGAGGGTGCACATGTGCAAATCGCGCACATGTTGGGCGCCAGTTGCTAGGTGACCAAAAGCGACCTTGCGCTGGGCTCAGCTCAGTGTGGCGCAGATACGTTCTTACGCTGTGCAACGCATAGAAATGAATGGGTTTGATAGCGGAGCGCAGCGCCACAGCGTCCTATCTGAAAACTGCTTTAGGCTTGGTGTCTCTTGTTACAGGTCTTGGACTCCTGGATGTTTTGTGTATTAGCCAGTGTAATGAAAACAACTTCATGATCTAAATTCACTGATTGGTTTATTGCTATAGGCTAAATAATAAGTATAAAATACAACACAACTATCACAGGTTGCTCTGTACTGTTTTGTGTCCAGTGTGAAAGGAGTGTCAGTCTCAAACTGGCAATTATACAAATTCAAAAGCAATTTCAATTACAGCTGCACTTTACACACCTGCAGAAAGCTGTAACTTGTTTTGGTAATGATTCCACAAGGTTAGAATGATGAGCCGCACCAAATTTGTATTTCACATACATTAGTGCCACATCGTTTTGCTGCCTCACAGTATTTGTAAGATGTCAACAGTTGAGCTGAAGGGTAAACAGTGATTCAACTGCAAAACAAAAGTGTAACAGAAACCTGTCATAGAGACGATGTGATTTTTCAGGTTGCTCGTCTGCTGTTGTGTGTTCAGGGGAAAAGTGATAACAGAGGCGTGACAAACACTTTTCTCAGTATAATCTTACTTGATTATTACTAGACACTACTTTAAAGTAATATTGAAAGGTACCTGTTGGTGACACATTTCAGTGATACCATACTGTATGGCCTGTTCAAAAGGTTGAACACACGTCCCCATTCAGTTCAGTGGTAGGGTTCGACCGGTAGCGTATATGGTCATTTGTGGCACTGACATTTGTGCCATTTAAAAAAAAAAAACATTAGAATATAAGAATCTTAACAATATAATGCACTCTAATAAAGAAATACAGAAAATGTGCCTGAATGTCATTTGAATGAAAATAGATATTTTGTCTCGTTAGGCTTAAAGTTAAATTTTCCAAGAAGTAACGTGAGGTTCTCAGATGGCTGTTTTCTACTTTATCCAGTAGTATTTGTTGGCTGCTTCATCCTGCAGTTGTTACTTTCTCGAGTTTCCTCAGCGTTAGTTGAGAAGACACTCGGTGCTTTTCAGCACCAAGGTGTCCATAACTCATGTTTTTAACATACATTCAGCTTTGCTTCAAACTAACGAAGCCCAATGTGGTAAATGACACATTTGTGTATGTGTGTCTGTAAACAAGCTGGAAAGCAGCTTGCATAGCATTGAGAGGCTGGAAAGCATGCTTTATAGTATAGTGCAGGAGTACTGAGCAGCTAGTTAGTGGGGGTTGTGTGTGTGTCAGTCTTCCAGCTGTAGATGGAGAGGATTGTTATGATGGGCCTCCACAGCTGCAGCATGCTGTAGTGGAGGGGATGTCTGCCTGGCTGGCATGTCTGTCTTTCTCAGATATCCTGCCTGTCTCTGTGCCTGTGCTTGTCTGTTTCCCAGCTTACTTACTATACCTGGTCCCAGGTCCGCCACTTTCATGGGTACCAGAAACACCAATGTTGCCTTTTATATGTTTCAGGTTCTTGGAAAACTGTAGAAAGTGCACAAATGAGACTTGGTTAGGTTGCATATTCCAGACCAACATGAGGTGTTTTTGACCCCTAGTGGCACTACAGAGCAATGTTTTGATGAGCTGTGCTCGTGTGTAATGAAAACTCCACAGGGTACCTTTAGTCAGGCCCTGAGATCTGGTTGTTTTAGATATTGCATGTGTGTCTGTATGCGAACACCCAGTGTGCCATGGTGTGTTCTAATTATCCAGACCTGGCCACATGTGGAGGATGAGCTGATGATGGGTTGCCTTCAGGCAGCAGGCCATCTGTAGGAGCCATCATAGGCATGCTGTGATGAAGGCAGAGAGGCACATACGGTGAACCCCCTGGTAGGACAGCAACAACCAGTGAAAGTCAGGATGAAGCAGTGTTTAAGCCACCCAGGCTTAACAGAGATTCATACAGAAAGCATGTGTGTTTTTGGTGTGCGCTACCAGTCAAAATTTGGGACACACTGTCCCTTTTAACTTTATGGAAAAGTGTTTCCAAGCATTTGTTTTCTCTGATAATAAAATATGAGTGGAAGTTCATCATGTGATTTTAAGGGTTTAAAATGTGTGAATTCATATTTTTACAGATATTCTGGTGTCTGGATTTTGTTTTACTTTATCCACATTCTCTGTGGCTTTGGTGTTTCTCCTCTGCATATCCTCTGTGTAACCCTGGCTCCATTCACAGGTATCGGCCCAGTGTTTGGCCTCCTGTTTATCCCTCTGATTGGCTCAGCCAGTGACCACTGCAACAGCATTTATGGCAGAAGGCGGCCTTTCATCTGGCTGCTGTCATTGGGAGTGCTTCTGGCACTTTTCATCATTCCCCACGCTGATGTCCTGGCTGCCCGTCTCGCCTGGGGTGAGCGCAGGCTCCAGGTAGGAGACCTGTTTGTAGTTTGTTGTTTTGTTCAGTTCTATATACAAAGCACACAGTTCAACATGTTAGAATGTTTTTCTACCATTGTAATTTTTCACACCTGTTCAAGTATAAAATACAGAATACATTTCCTTAATGCCTTTGTTGCTTTGCTACAGGTGGCATTCCTTGTCCTTGGTGTGGGGCTCCTTGATTTCTGTGGACAAGTATGCTTTACACCACTGGAGGCTTTATTGTCAGACCTGTATCGGGATGAGGAGGACTGCGGCCAAGCCTTTGCCATGTTCTCATTCATGGTCAGCTTGGGAGGCTGTGTGGGCTACTTGCTTCCTGCTCTCGACTGGAGCCATGGTCTACTCTCTGTTTACCTAGGAGGCCAGGCCGAGTGCCTCTTCTCCCTCCTCATCATCATCTTTGTCTCCAGTGTGCTCATCACAATGAAAGTGTCTGAGGAACCCTCTTTTACGGGCAGTGGCTTGGCAGGGTCTGGATCCTTACTGGAGTCTGGGGCTGGTGCGGTTGAGGCTGGCCGGTGCGGCGTGCCACGCTCATGCTGCTACCTGCTGAAGTGCAAGCCGCGGCTACTGAAGTCTGGGCCCCTGCTGTGCTTACTGAGAACATGCTGGTCCATGACCCCGACCATCTACAGAAGCTACTGCCATGTCCCATGGGTGATGAGGCAGCTGTGTGTGGCCCAGCTCTGCAGCTGGATGGCTGTCATGTCCTTTATGCTTTTCTACACAGACTTTGTAGGGGAAGGCCTGTATGGGGGTGTGCCCAGCGCATTACCGGGAAGTGTGTCCAGGCAGAGATATGATGAAGGTCAGATTTCCTTTTTATACAGTATATTCAAGATTTGTGTTAAGTGAGCTTTTTTCGTTTAATTTTCTGAGCATGTGAGTAGATTTGGCTATGCTGTCTGCTCTGTTACAGCTGGGCAAAAAGCACTCAACATTCCTTGGGTGCAGGTGGAAGACAGAAACACAGCCTGTATGATTACATGCCTTCCTGCTGCCTTCACACTGGCTCTTGCCAATGTGTAGGACATAACCAGCAAAGATCAAGTGTTAACTTGCACACTGTGATACACCACCTCACATGAGATGACAAACTTTTTGTTTAGAAATGCTACTGAATAACTAATGAATCATATAAGCAAATGTTTGTATATTTGATTCTACTAAAATATAGCCCTTAGTATTGACAGTCTGAAAGCAGGTAAACCAAGCGAATCAGTTGTGTCAGCGGTGCAAGGCAGACTTATTTCTTTGGGAGGTTATATTTTATCAGACAGCATCAGAGAAGGAACAGTAGATGGGAAGAATGAAGTAAACAGATGTGAAGTAGACCATCTTGCTCCATGTTGAGAAGGTGGAAATTTACTAAAACCGTTGACCATGTCTGAGTTAATGGTTTATAAATCTTCTTCTGTTTGCTGTCCTATCTTCCATCCTATTTTCCTCCCTTCTTTTGGCTTTTTCATATCTCAGTAACTGTTTACTTTACGGCTTCCCTTCTCATTTATCACCCTTTAGTTCACTCACCAATCTCCATCTTTCCTTTGACATTTTCATCCATCCCTCCACATTTGTTTCTCCTCTGCATTTTTCTACTGCTGTCTCCCTCCTTACTTTTTCCCTGTCTCTGCCCCCTGTGCTTGAATTAATGTCAAGGAGTCGGCACACAAAAACATGTTTGTTCTCATCAAGTAGATGGCCAGAGCACACAGTCTTGAGGTCTGTCGGAGTCATGTTTGTTTAATCAGGAACACAGTAGATGTTATTAACCCACATCATGCAGCCTGCATATGTTACTCTACATGCATCTGCTTTGTCTCTAGTTTCATATCTGCATGGACTGGTTTACTTCTTTCCATACTCCCGAATCGGCTCTTTTCCCATACTGCACAGATTCCTTAGCATTCTGGCTCAGTCCCATATCTCTGTGGGCTTGAATTTCAGTCCTGATTAGCCTCTGTATTGTTTGTAAAGTGGTCTCAGCAGCTTTGCTTTCCAGGAGGAATATGATCCACATACTCCTTTCAGATAAGCGATTCTCTGCACTGCTGCTGAACTTCTGACCTTCACTGTTCACTGAGAGATCAGGCCCGTAGCAGGCTGAGATAAACAACATTGCAGATGTGTAGTATATCCTGCTTCCATGGATTAGTACTAAAATTCAAAAACTTATTTAAGGAGTAAAATACATTTGGGGGTAAATGGGGAACATTATTAAAATGGAAGATATTTTCCATTGCAAACAAAATCCCTCACTTGGCTACTTATTTCGGAAATATTTTGTCATTACTGAAAACTGTTTAGTTATGTGCCTGTCTAAAGATGAAAATCTTAATTTTTTATATTCTAGTCAGTTGGTAGGTCAACTGCCATAATTGTACTATATTGGAGAACTAAGCAACCGTTAGTTTTTCTTCATAAATACCAGTTGGACTGTCATTATAAGAATGTTGCTATATCTCTTTTAGGCTGTTTAACATATTATGTTGTGTTAACTGTCATCATACTGTGACTCCAGCACCTTGGTATTATGTGTTGACTTGTTTTTCAGATACAGGACATCAAAAGGTTAAAATCTGGCACTAACTGCCTGTGAGTGTGTTAATTTGAGAGTGTAAAACCTCTTTACACATGTCAACAGCCATAAAAAAAAGAATGTAATTTTGCTACAAAGCCTGTAACTCTTCCTCTGTTCTTGTTTGAACTGTAAATTCTGTCATGGTTAGTTGCCTCATCCAAATGCTTGTTTTCTGGCTGGCTGGGCCAGACACGGGCCAGGAGGCAAGTTGCCTCAATAAACAGGGACCAGCCTGGGTGTCTTCTTGCCCCTCAGGCTTCTCAAGGATTTGTCTGAGATTAATGCTGTCTGTGATGGTCTAAGTCAGTCGCCCCAAACAGTGTCTCTGTGACACAGAGCTGTGTAAATGTCTCCCTAGCCAAATCTGTGCCTCTGTGTTTATGGGCTGAGCAAACAGAAGGGTTTCTAGCTCACCAAAGAGCTGTTAATGTGTCACAGATTAAAGTGAACAGAGGGTTAGCAGTGGTTAAGCATGCTGTACATTGTTCACTATACAGTATGTGACCACAGGGGGAAATTACTGGAGTTCATGTAGAACAGCAGACAGGAGGACACAGTTTTGTTACAATGGCAGTCACCCAGCTGTGACTGTCATTAGCTCGGCTGGTTGAAATACTAATGATGTTCTTCCTACCAGGTATCCGTATGGGCAGTCTGGGCCTGTTCCTGCAATGTGCTACCTCAACCTTCTTCTCCCTGGTCATGAGTCGTTTGGTTTGCCATTTTGGCTCACGGTGGGTCTACCTGAGCAGCATGGTGAGCTTCACAGTCTCTGCTTTGGTCATTTCCTTGTCCAAAAGTGTGGTCTTAGTCACTGTAATGGCAGCTCTCACTGGCTATGCATATGCCACACTGCAGATTCTGCCTTACACTCTCACCTGCCATTATCACAAAGAAAAAGAGGTAAGTACAGAGCTAACTACTTACTGTATACACAAAGTCAGTGTGCTGACAAACTGTGCAACTGATAAGTTGTTTGTTTTCGTGTCTCCTTTCAGGTCTACATGCCAAAAGGGAAAACCAAAAGCATACATAAAAATGGTATTTCAGTGAAGCAGGATGCTGTGTATTTGACTCCTGTGGAAGAGGAGGGTGGGCTGAACCATGAAAATGGGGCTGCCTATGGGCAGGCTTTCTTCAGCGAGGACAGTCATGAGTACTACCACAGCCCACAAAACCAGAACAGCTCATCTCATAGCTCTAGTGGCAGTGAACAGGGGGTGGCAGAATTGGGCTATGAGAAACGTGGTGTGGGTTTGGACTTTGCCATCTTAGACAGCACCTTTCTCCTCTCTCAGGTTTTCCCCACCCTCTTTATGGGCACGATCGTTCAGTTCATGCAGTCTGTCACTGCCTACATTGCCTGCTCTGCCATTTTTGGTGCTGTCGCCATCTACCTGGCCAGTCAAATCATCTTTGACCAAAAAGACCTCAAATTCTGAGATTTAACTGAGATGTGGGAGTGATAAAATCATAATCAATCAATCATTCATTCAGGTTCTGTAGGTGGAATTTAGCAAAGCACTACTGTTCCCAGAATGCCTTGCTCTATGATTGTGTGCTTGCTTTTATAAAAGTTCTATTTTATCGAAGTGTGTGTGTGTGTGTGTGTGTCTGCCAATATGTGGCAGGGTAAGAGACAAAGTGTCTAACAGAAGAAAATGTCATAAGAGGTGTGTTATTATCTGTGCTCAGGACGGCTGTGGTAGTCTTTGTGCTGAATTCTATAGAAATCTCTATAAAAACTTTTAGTTGTGACAAATATTCTGTCCATCGCCTTTCTCCTCAGGTACCACCAAACATATTTACTGTAGAAATCATCAGCCTCAGAAACACAACTACCAACCTTTTTATTCTTTGCTTTTACAGTTCACTCCACAATCTTTAAAAGTACGGTCTGCTTTGTACTCAGATCAACATGACAAACACAGTTATAGACTTATACACACTCATTTAGAGCATCACTAATCCAGTGTGGATACTGCTCATCATCTCACTGAGGCAGACCCCCCTTCTTGTTTGTACCATGGGTTTAAAATCTTATATTCTAAGTGTCATGCCTAACTCAATAACACTGACGACACCACTGTGGTACCATCAGGGTTATTTTCTGAGTATTGACAGTTGTCAGAACACAGACAATGACGCCAACCCTTTACTGGCTGTGTAGTACTAGACAAGTAAACTGACTGTTATCTGACTACCTTTAAACATCTAGCTGTACTATTATTGGTTGCATCCTCTGTGTTTCCCCATCTACTGTCACTCATTACTTTATGAATGGTTTAACTGTAAATATTGTGCATCTTTTACTGCACATCCCTATGGGAATTTAGTTATGCAACCTGCAGGGGAGAGGCTGTTGACTGGTTTGAGAATGAAGCGGTTTACTAGAACTGGAATATTGCATCAAATGTCCACTGTCTTGATAATCAGGAGTAGTTTATTTTAGGGGACTACTCATCCTGTCCAACCATATTTCTGATCAGGACAGTCATCTCAGGTTAGTACCTTGTATTTGTCCCATCCCATCCTTTTGGCACTGATAAAACACCTTCCCTGCTGCCTAAACCCTCATGTTTTATTGACAATCTATGACATCCAGATGGGGGTGTTTCAGTGTATAACACTGTATGTAAACAGTAAACATGTAGGGTAGTGTCTCGTAGAAACCCACTTCATAGCATCCATTCCTGAAAAGACAAAAAAAAGCAGTAAGTGAAAACATTTGGTTACTGAAAATGATGCAAGAGTAGGTGTTGTATATTAATGGGCTGAAGGCTGAGTTGAGGTGTGTTTGTTTATACATAACATGGAGGACAGACAGTGAGAAACCATGAGTAACATTTAAGTGTGAGGCTAATCAAAATGATATGTCAGGAGTGTATGCAGTTATTCACAATGTTTCAAGAAACTGTATTCACTTTAGATGTTGTATGTTACAGTGTATTGTGGCCTTCAGTTGAGCTTGTGTCATCATGCTTGTGTTGCAACCAGCAAGTCACTTCATTTGAGCATTTTGTATCCAAGTAGTCTGATCCTACCGGAGGGGCAATGAATTATGTTCGGCAGATACAAATAGTCCTGAAGGATCTTATTGCCTGAGGCGTGGTCAGTGTGGGAAAGGAAAACATGGCCGAGGATTTGTTTGTCATGGTGACACTACTGCTGAGTGGAATGCCTAAAAAGAACCAAATTACCCTTTTTACCCCAAATTGCACCAAAAAATATTACTTGGCAGTAGCTGAAGTATCAGAGAAAGTTTGTTTTTCAAGTGCCTGTATATTTTTCAGACATTTTTTGTACATATGTATTTATTTATTATGCTTCTCTTACAAAATAGTACATATTAAACTATTGACCTCTTTGGCATCTTGCATAGGTGCAAGGCTGAAAGCTGTTCCTGTGATATAAATTATTTGTATAGTGGTATAAAAGCATTCTCCAAGCTATAATTTATTTTAACACTACCTACTTGATCCTGTAGCTTTGGTGCAGTTGCCGATATCTGCTGTCAGTGAGTATCAAATTGGCTGCAGTGTGAGAATACTAAAAGTTTCCCCTCATGGTGATTATACAGATCAGCTGAAAGTTGTATTCCTCTCACACAGCTGAGTTGCTTGGTTTGTTTTTTTTCCCTCTTGTGCAGCTGGTGCAAACAAGAAACCTTGTTGTTAAGTCAATACTGCTTTATCTGGGGCTTATATTACCACTTGTTCTTTCTTATCAGTTATATTTTGTATTGTTTAATAGATAAACACTTCACATATCTTTAACTAGATGGGTGGAGTATTCAGTCATGGCTCTCAACCAAATATCCTGGTTGGTTTGAGATGAAACAAAAGTGCCAATGATCAGACTATGTTAAGGCCAGGCCTTGTTATAGTCTCATGTTATTAATCGGGTTTTTCAAAATCACATTTTCCACAAGATTTCAGACACTTGTATCATTGTCATAAATACTTATAGCCATAAGAAAACGTTGTATTTCACTTTCATTATACATCCATCAGATTGTGTATAAATATGCAGGTACCAAATAGATTTTATACAAAATAAAAGATCTGCATTGCCAATGAGAGTCTGTCCTTGAGTTATTTTTTGAAACACAATTTTGAAAATCAAGTATATTTTTGATTATTTTATACAGTATTTGACATTTAAAATGGAATATCACATAAGAGGAGTCGATAGCATTTGTTTAGATAATTGCTAATTGTTCAGTCTGAAGTGCACTTTGACATCTTTAGCCGAACCTTTATTTAACAGTGTTCTTTAGGTAGAATGTCCATAAAGCTTTATGCAGCTTGGTTTCACTGAAGAGTAAAGGCTGTACAAAAGTGGTTTAAGAAATAACTTGGAAATGGTGCCATCATTTGGAAATCTTGGGGAACTGATGTGTGCAGTTGAGATTGCTAGTGCGCAACCGCAGTCGCCCCACATGGGCATCTGCCGGTGGCATTATCTATTACATGGACACCACGAAAGGTTTCATGTTGCAGTGAATGGCATGCTCACAATGTATGTCATTTCATGACAAGCTTCTCCCGTTTGTTCTTCGCCGTTCTCACGAGCGCACCATGGGAAAGACGCAGGTCACGGTGCACCTAAACAACTGTAATTTATTAAAATGTCGCTCTGGGCCTCATTTACCCAAAGGTGCTGTACAGCTCAGAGAATCGGTGTCTTGCTCAAGGACACGTCAGCAGGGAGGATGCTGGTCGACACTGATGTTTTGAACCCTGATCTTTGCGGCTGACGGGCTGTGGACGCCCTGTTGGTTCCTTGGTCCACTTGATATGTCATTTTAGGACCAGAAAACATACATTTACGAGGGAAAGCTCTTGAGAAAGGCGCAGCAAAAGAAGTGGGACCGCAAGAGTCCTGTCATTGCTCTCCGGTGACAAGTGGGCCTGTTTTACACCTTCCTTCTAAATAAGGAAACGGCTGGAACAGACATATGACCAGCAACCCAATTCGGGAGCAGCCCGAGTGCCCTATCGTGTCCCACAGTCGTACACGCCACCAATAAGATTTCTTCTTTCACTCCAGAAGTGACAATGCTATTCCCCTCAGCTCTCCACAGACTATGTATTTTCCTGCTGTCAGCACTCTCTCTACCCTTGTATTATCCCAGCAGTGAAGTCAGCATGATGTCATCTAGGATGCGATATCCCTGGCAAGGTTTAGACAGGGCTTTTGGTGCGTGCTAGAGGATTTATTCTGAACTCTTACTGAGGGGGAAGAGAGGGAGAAAGAGAGAGCGTGTGAGAGAGAGAGCGGCGCGGAGGAGCTGCAAAACATGGTAATCACCACCAACAACAGCACCATCACCATCACCATCACCTCCAGCTCTGCCGCGCACTCTCCCGTCTCCTCTCCTCCTCTGCACCGAGGCTTGCGTTTCATGCCCACAGCCCTGGTCTGCGCTCCAAAAATAACCCTCAGCCAGCATGCCGAAGGAAGCAAAACAAGAAGGCTGGTATTTTTAGGGTCATTAATTTCGACCACGTGGCCCAAAGGTAAACCGGATGGCCGTTGCGCAAAGGTTCCTCGTCAGTATGTCCTGCGAGGCCGGCACGTCGCACTGGACGCTGACCGCGGTGGTTCTCCTGGGCTTTCTGCTGGGGATCGTGTCAGCGTACCCTTTACCGAGCAGCAGGACAAATGCAACTTTACTGGAGAAACGATGGGAGACCCTCTTCTCCCGTTCTGTACTTGGGATCTCCGGGGAGAAACCGGAGCTGAACTGGGAGAGTGATTATCTGCTGGGAATCAAAAGAGTGCGGAGGCTCTACTGCAACGTGGGCATTGGATTTCACCTTCAGATCCTCCCCGACGGCAGGATAAATGGTGTACATAATGAAAACCAGTACAGTGAGTTACCTCCACCAATGTAATGCAATAGTCATAAAAGAGAGGCAGCGTAAATAAGCATGGCTCAGTGGTAAGCAGGCTAGTCTATCCCATTTAATAATTTGCATGATCATGTGTCATCTGACTCTGAGGGTGCATTGAATTTCTTCCACGGCAAAGACAAATTTATTAAAAAAAAAAAAAAGTATCCATTAGTACTGAACACCTCCCACCCCTTTCCCCTCCCTCCTCTCCAAGCTCAACCATGACATGAATGTATGGACGCTTTTAGACACAACTTATTTTTACGCAGCGTTGTGAGGGCGGTCCAGAGACCAATAACCGTGCACGTCAATGCAACTACTGCAATTATTTCAATAATCAGAATGCGCTTAATTGACGCGCCAGGATGCAAATGTAAGATGCAGAACAAAGGCTCGGCATCCTGCGCAGCAATCTGCAAGGTTACACCCATAGACGCAGAGAGAGTACAACGTTACAACACTGAATCAGCCAGGATGAGTGGTCGATGCTTTATAATTATTATCAACTCTAATGTAATATTCTTTGTCCTGATCAGGTCTAATAGAGATCTCCACGGTGGAGAGAGGAGTGGTGAGCCTATACGGGGTGAAGAGTGAGTTGTTTGTCGCAATGAACAGCCGTGGAAGGTTGTACGGAACGGTAGGTATGCACAGTATTTCATTTATTGTTCAGCAATGCCAGTTATTGGGATCCTGAAAATAGAACGCACTTGCAGCATGACCCCCCTCTTTATTTGCCGGTTTTATTTTGGGATGGGACTCTTGCTCTAGCTGCAACCAGGCGAGCTGACCGTTACGCGTTGAGAAATGCATTGCGTATTAATTCCATCAGGAATTTATGAAGCTCTATTTACAGTAAAACGTGTACTTGGCCTGGTGGTCTATGGGTAAATAATGACATTAACAGATGCAGGTTATAGTCCACACGCCTTAAATGTGGTCGTGTGTGTATGGAGGAGGGAAACCCCCCCGGCACAAAGAAACCTGTCAGCAGAGCTGGAAATCGATTTTAACGTCAAAGCGCTTATTTTGCAGCGCAGTGCACTTCACACGCGTCTTAGGAGGCAAAAGGCTTGGTGCTTCGCTCACCACCAGCAGTGGCCCTTACACTAACCACACAAAAAAGAAAGAAAGACAATTGTATTTTAATTGAATTCTAGCATGGTTCACAAAGACATCTTTATATTTTTCATTAAAAATGGGCCAAATAACACCCATGTCCTACATGTTCTGGACACCATTACCTAAACTGCAGATGTGTTCTGTTAGATTTCTGAGAAGTATCCAACATTACAAAACATGCCTCTGGATGTAATGTAGGTGCCCATCACGATGTCGAGTAGGCTTTAGATTTTTCCTAAACAGTGTTGGGTCTTACAGAACAATTTGAGTTTCATCAGTGTAACAGTATTGCTGTAGAGCTCAACCTGCAGTACTCTGCTTCTAACCTGAGGCGAGAATATCTTTATATACTAATAATAACACAACTGTAGCTCTCAGACTAAATATTTTACACAAGGTAAGACCAACAGCAATGATCTGTGACTGAACGTGTTGATCAACGTCATGTTTCCCAGTATTGTTAAAGACCTGTTTGTTTTTCAATCAATTATTTGCTTTTTGCAAAACTAACAAAACTCTGCGCACCTGATTGTGTTACAGGTGTGTCAGAAAGACAGCAAATTGTAAAAAACGCAAAAAAGCTCTTGGCCTGTCTCGTTTATGCTGAATATTTTATTAAGTCCACAACGTTTTGGTCTATATAAGTTAAATGTTGTGGACTTAATAAATCATACAGTAACCTGAGAATTGTCAAGGGATTCATCATGTCAATAACAAGTTGTAATTCAAGCTAAAATTTAGTGTTTTGCTAATCCCCAGTATATTCTGGCAGTATTAATGTTTCTAAATGCCTTAATTTGACCCTGCTACTGCATGTGTTGGATGCAGTAACATGAACTGAAGTTTTAAGAGAGAAGGTGAGATGGAAAAAGAAAAAAGGAAACGGACCATACTTCAATTTCCAACATTTCACTTCTCTGCAGGCACATAACATTTAGCTAGTCACCCAACCATATATAATTTCATTTGTTAGCTATGTGGGGGTTATATAGACCTACAGACAGGTGACAAATTAAAGCAAAACTTGAATAAATGAGTGGTCTCTTCCAGGATGACGATGCCCCCATCACTGAATGATTTGATGAGTATGAAAATAATGTGAATCATATGCTGTGGCCTTCACAGCCACCAGATCTAAACCCAGGTGAACACCTTTGGTGGATTTTGGAGTGACGTGGTAGACGGTGTCTCCACTACCATCATCAATACCACATGTTGGCAGAACAGTGTTCATCCCTCTAGTAGAGTTCAGACACTTGGAGAGCTGATGCCAAGGTGCTCTGATGCTGTTTTGGCAATGCATGGTGGCCCGACACATCACACTTTATATTAGGTCTTCCTTTCATATGTCTCATGTATATACTTTATATGTATATCTTTTTTAAAATCCTTTTACTTTTATGGTTTACACTTAAAGAAAGAAACAAGATTTCAGCTGTAACTTTTCATGGTTGAAGTGACAATTTAATTGAACATGAACTTGAATCTTGCGTCCTCATCACACACATAAGGTGTGCTTGTAGAATCACTGCAGATAACCTTTAGAAGATGTGACTAGTTTGCTTCTACAGCTGTGACAGTTATTAATATATCCTGATGGTGGTGGTGGGGGTGGGGTCGTTGTGTTTAGTATAGCCATGCTGACACATACTGGTTGCCTGCTGTGACCAACATATTTGACAGCAAGAATTCGAGTCTGTTATCTGGTCCTGAGTGATGAAGTGTTAGTTTGTGAGCAGGCTGATGATCTGATAAGAGACTGAATTAGGCCACATAGTCTCTGATCTGCTGCTGTACACACCATGAGTCATGCATTGCCAGCTCAGCATGGAGGAGCCATTATCTTGTTCTTTATCGTGGCAGATATTTCAGGATTGTTCTTATATGAAGAGACTGTGGAAAATAAGATATCAATGTTACCTAAAGTCTTTGTAATAGTTTTAGAATTCATATCAAAGCATACCGTGCTTTGCAGTGTTTCATTGTATAGCCTAAAGGTAGGGTTGTGTTATGGTTTGCTCTCGCTTTTCGATCCCATACCTTTATTTTGGGTTTTTCCATTCCGTTTCCCCTCAGCTGCTCCAGCTCTACCCTGGTCTCAATGATCACTCACTGTAGTCACCTGTCCCTCGTTATCCCTTGGTGGCCTGTGATACATAAACTCCTTCCCTCAGTCACTCACCGGTTCATACGTACCTGGTCACCATTGCCAGTCCACTGGAGAAACTCTCCCAGACACTTCTGGCTCTTCTCACCTGAAACCAAGATTCTGAACAACTTCCTTAAGTGACCTGACCCAGCGGTTCTTTTCCTGACATTAGCGATGCTGGCGAAGTAACCTGTCCAGCTGTACTTGTCATTACAATATCTCTGACCTGCCTGCTACGCCATTACCAGTTATTCTTTGTCTACTCACCTGTGAATACCATACGATCCAGCAAACACCGTTTTCCCCATCTACTTACCTGCATGCCGTAGTTCTCCGGTCCAGCTAGCTTCAGCTTGACCTGATCCCACTCTCCTGTACGCCAAGGTCCTCTGGTTCCTGTCCAGTCTGTGCACTCTCCTGTACGCCAAGGTCCTCTGGTCCAACTGGTTCCTGTCCAGTCCGTTTCCACTCACCTCCATGTCCAGCCCGTGCCCACTCACGTGCACATCCAGGTCCTCCGGTCCCACTGGTTCCTGTCTGGCCCGTCTCCAGTCACCTGCACGCCTTTGTCCCCAGCTCCATGCTGCTCTGCCTGCCTGTCCCATCCAGAACCTGCCCTGCCTCTGTCCCCTCTCTCTTCCACCCAGTAAACTCATTTTTCATGTACAATAAACTCCTTTCTTGTTTTATGCCCAGTGAGTCTTGAGTCTGCATCTTTGAGCCTGCCTCCCACGCCTCACCCTAACAGGTTGGTGATTCCTTTCTGAAGCATTTTTTGAATTTCTTTTTTCATCGCGATGGCAATAAATACATTTAAAAAAAGACAACATAAAGGAAAAAAATCCATCTGTAGCAGGCTGAAAAATGCCTGAACAATAATCTTACTTGTCCCAAGCAAAACCACTGGATGGACTACTGGCCTGTCAACCTAACTTCCTAGCTCTGTGCACTCTGCCCACGCACTCAATGTGCAAGAAGGAGTCTTCCACAAGGTGTTGCAGGCTGATGTATTACTGCTCTGTTTTACAGCAAAAGCTAGTGAGCTATAGCAGAGAAGGTACCTACAGCACTGTGGGTACACGGTACTTTGTTCGCAAACAGAGACTGACGTTACATGCCAGTCCTTCCCTTTAAGACATATAGTCTTGTAGGTAATGTTGTTGTTGCCACCAAATCAAATCAAATCAAATTTTATTTGTATAGCACCAAATCACAACAAAAGTCATCTCAGGACACTTTACAAAGTAAGGTCTAGACCTTACTGTTATCAATATTATTACATAGGGAAAACCCAACAAATCCCCCTTGAGCAAGCACTTGGCGACAGTGGGGAGGAAAAACTCCCTTTAACGGAAGAAACCTCCGACAGACCCCGGCTCTTGGTGGGCGGCCTTCTGCCTCGACCGGTTGGGGTGAGTGGATAGAGGAGAGACAAAAGAAGAAAAGCAACAAGACACAACAATCAAACACTGATCAGGTCGATGTGGCCGGTGACTGCTCGTCAGAGATGAAGAGCTCCAGGGCCAGGGCAACCTGCAGAAGGGTACAGGAAGAGAGAGAGGACACACTACGGGAGAAAGGAGACACAAAGTTAGTAATGTGTAATAGTGGCAAGCTAGTGGCAGAGGTGCATGCGCAGACAACTGGAGTTATGACCTGGTCTGAACAGCCAGATTTTAAATCAT